AAATTTTTATTTTGCAATTCATTCATTTATCAAAAAAGTATGAACAGTGCGGGCTTATAAATCTTTCTGTTTTCATTCCTGGCCGACTTAAGGTAATCTGTTTTTGTTCAAAAACTGCATAGTGAAGAATTCATTAGTTATTTCTAACCAGTTCGTATAATAATAATAATACAACGATGATTGCACAATAATAACATTGAATTAGATATACTTCTTACAATTGCGGGCAGAGTACTGCTTGTAAAAGAAATTTTTGATTGGCGGTTTTTAAATGTTGATCAAGAGTGAGTTAGTTCCGAATCAATTTTGGATGAGCATCAACTCTCCTTACAGTTCGAGAAAACTTTTTTCCCGGTAAATGGTAAATAAACAATTTTTGTGTATTTTTAAGATTAATAACAACATTGTATTATTATTTGCTTGACTGATTCTTTTATAAGGAAACAACTGTAACATTTGGAAAGTGGTTATTATCTAAAAGCTTATGTTCATTCTTAGTTGTATTCGGAAAAGGTAAGTTATAGTCATTACATTGTTGCATGCATCTTTGTCTAGCCGAAGGTATTATGAAACTGAAGACATGTAGCGTAATACGGGTGCTGGTCGCGCAAAGATATAAAGTTGCGGAGTAAAATGCATATCATAAAGTAAATGAATTCATGTTTCCGTATTTGTTGCAGAATTGATCAAAGTAATAAAATACTTTCAGGACGATGACAAATATAGCGGCCGACATCGAGCACGTTCACGTTCTCATTCAGATAGTCGAAGCAAACATAAATCTCGGAAAAGATCCCGAAGTGATAGCGAACGAAGTGATGTTAAAAAGTATATTTTCTACATTGTTTTTTAATTTGAAACAATTTTTGCATTGTTTAATATAAACTTGTTTAATATCAAGCGTGAAGTATTCATATTTCTTGTTTAGAATCTGTACAAATTATACCTTCATTTTCCTTATGAAGATGTAATTTTATACAAATTATATCTTCATATTCTTTATGGAGATATAATTTGTATTAGTAAAAATATTAAGTATTAGTGAAAAATAAAAATTAGCTAGTTTTCAGTTGAGTGGAAGCCCTACATCCCTTTTTAATTTTCGGTATTTTTTTCATTTCTTATCTAAAATTATTGTGATGTAAGGAATTTAGGTCGCACTATCGTTCGTCAAGCATAAGTAGTGCATCAAGTAGAAGTAGTAGTTCGTCTTCGGATAGCAGTTTTTCGAACCGTTCCGGAAGTCATACACGGAAAGCATTCAGATCTCAATCACCCAGCAGGCATTTTTGTTTATGTTTGAGCATTGTATTTGTAGATACTGCTTCATTCTTCTATTGCGACTGACTTTTTTCAGGGACCGAGATTCAGAAGACAGTGATGAACAGAAGGAAAGAAGAGCTTTGCGTAAACAGGTTACACTTGTCTTCATATTTCAAATCAAAATTTTTCTTGTCAGTCCTTATCACTAATATGCTCATCCAATCTTCTTGAAGTAAAATTTTTCAGAGAGACATGAAGTGGTAAAAAACTGCCGCGAAGATAAAAGCTGCTCTGTCACAGGAATTTCATAATTGCTCAAACGTAGAGGGAATATTTTTAGATTCGTGAAAAGGAAATAGCTTATGCTGAGAGGCTGCGGAAATGGGAAGCTCGTGAAAGAAGGCAGGCGAAATTATATGAACGAGATGAGCAACGAGAAAAACAACGTAAGCGTGACATGCAAAAAGAAGCAAAAAAATTGAAACATTTCCTGGAAGATTATGATGACGAACGCATGGATCAGAAATATTACAAGTAATTATTTTTATTTTAAGTAGGAATTTTGATTGTGTTTTTTATTTGCCTGAACCAAATGTTTGTTAGTTTACTAAAGATAAACGTTCTCCCAGTGGTATATGTCAAATGCTACACAAAGTGAGGTTAATAGTAAAAATTATAGTGCATTTATTGAGACTTCCCATTTGAATTATCCTTTTGCTATGGCATTTAAAGAAATAACATTCTCAAGCCGATAAAGGTATCTGGATCATTTTAAAACTATTTTAATCATTTATTTAGAAGTTCTTCACTATTTCAACGCCGGCGTGATTTTGAGCGTGAGCGTGAAGCAGATGCTAAAGATCGGCAACGTGAGCAGCAAGAAATTGAGGAGCTTAAGAAACAGATTTTGGCTGAAAATGCGAATGTTGAAAATCCGGATGAAGAAGCTAGGAAGCGACATGAAGAACAGGTTGCTTGATCCCTCCAAGTTTCATTGTCTGCTCATTTTTTCTTATGGAAAAAAATTCGAAATGATTAAATAAATTTAGGAAGAAGCTCTTTTGCGGAAACTACGAGCAGATTCTGGAAGTCCAAACCCACATCGTCCTTTAGGTCAGAAACCGTTGCCATCTGAACCAGAAAAAGATGAGGAGAGTGAAGAATCCGAAAGCGATTCTGAAAGTGATGGAAGTGCTGAGGAGGCTCTTAAGTCGGAAAAGCTAGAAAAGCGCAGTAGCTGGAAAGCTGGTAGAAAATGCTTAATATTGGTTTCATCATTTGACATTAAATTTGTCTCTTACTGGAAATAATTTCCGTCTTAGTTTTCCTTTAAAAACAGAATCAATGAATAAGAAAATTTTGTCAAAGATGTATAAGGTTGTCTTTTATACTACAATGCAAAGATTTTTGATAATCGATTTAGTAAACTTACTTTACTAGATCATGTATCACAATTTTTCAGTAGCATCTGAAGACACTCCTGTTGCTAATTCACCAATAGTAAGCGTGGCATCACCTTCTGTAATGTCATCATCGCTTGCAAGTCCAGCCGTTGTGCGTACCGATGTTATTACGCCTGCACGACCGTCAACAAGTTCACATCTGAATGGAATATTCGGTTTTGAAGAAAATGATGAAGATGGAGCGTTTCGGAAAAGGAAATTGAAACCATTCGAAATAACTGAAGAGGTAACAGAAATAAAAAGATTGGAACTATAAATTTTCACTCTGTATATTTCGTTGCATATCATTTACCTTACATCTTTACTCATAAACTTATGTTTAGGATCGCATTCAAGCTATGACATCGGAAGAACGTAAACAAATGATCAAGGATTTAATAGATCGCATTCCAACTGCTAAAAATGATTTGTTTGCGTTCCCAATCAATTGGAATTATGTTGACAAGTCTCTCGTTGAACAAAGAGTAAATATTATTTTAAAAGTTAAGATCCGTAAAGTTGTGAATTTCTCTAGAATACTTTTCTTTTCTGTGCAACTTGTATAGCCTGCATTCTTTTTTAGGTCAAGCCATGGGTTTCGAAAAAAATAACAGATTATATTGGTGAGGAGGAAGCTTCATTGGTTGATTTTGTTTGTGAAAAAGTGACATCGAAGACCGATCCGCAGAAAATTCTTTCTGACATCGCTATGGTAACGTTTTCAACTGTATTTGACTTTCTTTAGGAAAACTTAAGCAGGATCTGTTGCTTATAACCGCTAGTTCTGTAATCATACCATTTGGCATACTTTTAAGCACATGTTTGTCACTGTTGTATTTTACTTTACTATATTCCTTTTTCAAATGAAAGTACTCCAATTATGCTTAGAGGTAGTAGTTATTTTATGCTAATTTTTACAGGTATTGGATGATGAGGCAGAAGTGTTCGTTGTGAAAATGTGGAGATTGTTGATCTATGAATCAGAAGCAAAGAAATTAGGTCTGTCAAGGAAACCATAAGGTATGCGTTCCCCTGCATTGACAGTTTTCGTCGAGTTTGATATTTATTATTGTGGTGTTTTTGTTTTTATTTTGTGCTGCATTCACTATATGTAAATGCAGTAAAACAATTTTTCGAGTTATTTCCAAATTTCTCGAGAATGCTGTTTAAAATAATGGTATGTTTTGTTGATAGTATAAACGTCTTTTGCAAATCACTTTTATTGTACTGATTTCATTATTTTTGTATGACGAAACGTTAGTATTATTTTTAATTAAATTTCAGTGTTTTTCTTATCAATGATGAAAACTGCATGCTTGTACAGCAATAAGTATTGTTTTATGTCTTTAGAGAAAAATAGTTAGTTGGTCTTGTGTTTACTCATTTGAATAGTTCGGTTTTGGTAAAGTCATGTTTGATACATTTTATTTCAAGCATCGTTTGCTTTGTAAAGAGTTACCTACTGTTTCTTGTTTTCAGTCATTGTTTCTATGATAAAAGATTGTGAAACAGTTGTTTCCTGCTTACTTGGTTTTATCTTTAAAATGAAACACTGAACACTTATGGTTATTTTCAACTTTTTTTTTCTAAATTTTAGTTTATTTTGAAATTACAGAACAATAGGTACTGCATTCTTTGTGATGTGAATTTAAATATGGGAGAATAGGCAGGCGAATCCGATACTTGCTTTTGCATCAACTTAGCACTTCACCCTTTGCATACGGGAAGTCTTGAAAGGATTAAACTTGTAGCAATGAATTTTGCGAATCTTAGCGTTACGGAAAAAATACGGGTTCTTTAAATGGAGCGGAAATATATGATGCAAAGGATAGGTTTGTCCAATTTGCGGTAACTTCAACCGTTGTGTAAAGAAGCATTAGAACTCGGTTTTAGGTCTTATGTTTAACTTGCACGTCTCTTATATTTACATATTCTCCAACACGTTTTTCATAAATATGCGTCTATGTTCTTTCAAACCTTGAGGATTTGGAGAAATCATTATGACGTTTTTTTTTTTTTTTTTTTTTGGGAGTTTTTCATTGTCGAGGAAGTTTGCCGTCGTTCTTGAACATTTTTGATTGTAGGAAGCAATTATAAAAGCGAGGGAAGATTGTTACTGGGGGAAATGCAGTTTGAAGGGAGTTCAAGAAATATTCCGAAGTTTCTGGTTCGAAATACTCGCGGGCCAGTTCACAGGGTGATTTTGATTATTTAAATTAATTTAAAAAGTATCATGATGAGTTTTTCGGAACATCGGGATTACAACTCTCCGTTCAAATTTAGGGTCCGAAAAAGATGGAAGATTTAAATTTGCATATGTATGTGGAGTCACCAATGGAGGATATCACACTGCTTGAATTTCAAGAGCTAGCACTTAATAGGCTGAGAGTTTTAAAGGCTGTCGAACAAGTGAAAGATCGTTTTCCACGTGAAACAGAAGCGATAAACAATGAGTTAGCAAAGGTAAGCATTGGCAGAAATCGTTGTCAGCATTATTTAATTTTTGCTACTTGACTTTTTGTAGCTTATCAATAGTAATTTATTTATAATTTGGCAGCCATTGTGAGAGCATAATGAAATGCTTTTGCAATGTCCAATTACACGGTATTTGAAAATCTTTTAATTAGTGATACTATTTGGTGCAACCGATTATAAATGAATTTTATTTTATCTTAGGGAATCATTTATTATCTTTCAGCAATTGATGAAACTGATGCCAATAGCATGTGGCTGTTGTCCATTGGAGGAACTGGAAAACGCGAGAAGGCGTGATATTATATCTCATTTCATCCTTCGACTTGCATTTTGTCAGACTCCTGAACAGACTAAATGGTTTATTCAGCAAGAAGTGGACTTGTTTAAATTTCGTTTCCAACTTGTGCGTTTTTTACTATTTTTATTGAGAGGAGGGATGTTCAAAACATTGTTTTGGTCTGGAATTAAGCAGACAAAAAATATTCTTTTTTCGATCGAATATTACAGTTTATTTCATTGCGCATATCTAAAAATGCTGTTCAAGGTTTCAAAAAGCTGTGATGTTGTAACTCAGTTTCTACAAGCTAACAATTTTGATGCTGAACTGGTGACAGATGCTGAAAAAGAAAATCTGAAAGAAAACCTTTCGAACGCTTGTTTTATACCGCTTAGCAAGGTTAGTCTTTTAGATGATTTCATAGAATACTTATTATGACGAGTGTACCGTTTTTATCTTAAAAATTAATGTTGGAATTAAAATCAAACTATCTGCTGATATTTGCCGTTCTCTGCATAGTTTCATGATATGAGATGTCATTCATATCTCAATAAACATGTCTCTACGTGTTCTCATCCTCATTTCATTTATAATGTCATATTTGGTTAGATTATTTGTTTTATCAATCTAGGGCCCTTGTACAGTGAAGTTACAGTTGTAATTAACTTTCACTGTAATTTTTCTGTGACGGCTTGTACATATACCTTATCAGGTAGTAGTCCTTTATCAAATAAGGTTTCTATTGATATTATCACTATAAGAATTTTCTTAATATTCACTACATTTTTTTATTTCCTCTGCATGTCAACATACAGATTATATTGTTAATAAAACTTTCTACGTGTTTTAAAAATCAAATTTTCTCTACGTACTTTAAAATCTAGTTTTAAATGTAATATATGCTTGATACTTAGGTTCTTTGTCCGCATCGTCATTACTTTGCTAATGTTTTTTATGAAAGTTTTTTATTTTGGACAGTTATGTGGTTTGCAAACAGACGTATAATTAAAGGAAGACTTATTTTTTGTACACTTTATAGAATAGTACAGAATTCTAAATTAGGTTGAACATCACGTTGTTCTTCTTAGTCCAAATCACTATCAGATTTTTTAAAGACGGCATGGACAAGTATCAAATAGCACAGACAAACTATGTTATCAAATTGGAAGATGTTTACAATATTTCAATAAATGCAAATTATTATCATCGTTGTAAAATTAGAACGATTTATTGTCTTATTATTTTAACCGGTTTGAATTTATATTAAAAAATTACATTATTACTATAAGTTCTACTTTCAAAAAAGTTTCTGCTTTTGAAATATTTTCCATGCATCTTTTCAATATATGCCTTATTTTTCAGATTACAGGTACAAATTTTTGGAAGGTTCCTTTTGATGATGCACTTGACCTAGTTCGTAAACGTCGAGTTTTGTTGGTTTTCGGTTATGCCTTTGTTTCTGAAGATGATCTCCAAGTTATATTATGCACAAGACTTCGTCTTAATATCGCTGCTGCTATGGCTGTTAGCATTCATTGTTTGTAAAACTAAGTTTGGTTTATGTTGAAGCCATTTTATTGACAGTAATTTATAATCGTGAAGTTTTTTTCAAAATCCTTCAATGCTGAAATTTTAGTTTATAGCTATAAAAATGATCATTTCAGTTTTATGTATGTGCTGCTGCTTGTCATCTTTCAGCGTGCTTGTAGAAATATCGTATACATTGAGGAGAATGACCGATTAATGCCATTTTTGAAGAAACTATCGAGCAGATCATATGTGGGTAAAAATTACATTGGATTGGATGCTTCCCGTGTTACACCTGATATGGTGGATTCTGTATGTTTCATTTATGTTCAGCATATGGCTTCTAATTCTGTGCAGTCGCTCGTGGATGTTACTTCCTAAAAATATCTTTGTATTTGGATCTTCTCTGATTGAGTTGAATTGTGCTGTACAAAGCATTTATCTATTAAACACCTGTATACACCTGTTTTTTATTATATATAGAAATAGAAACAGAAGATAATTTACATATTAGAATTGCGACTTTGCTGCAATTTCCCAGAACCACTGTTTATGCGTGTTTTTATTTCTTTTAGCCAATAATCTAAAAAAAAAGAAGGAAATTGTAGTTTCAAAGAAGTTTCAGCTTGCTGCATCTTCATTCCCACTTTGTATGAGGAATATACATAATCGATTGAGGGTAGATCATCATTTGCGTCATGGAGCTCGAATGCAGTATGGATTGTTTTTAAAAGCGGTTGGTATGACATTGGAAGACGCACTGATTTTCTGGAGAAGTGAATTCACTAAAAAAATGGATTCAGATAAGGTTGGCCAAGACTAATCTTGTCATTCATTCTTTAAGATATAATAGAGCATCCATTGATACCTTAGTGTGACTTTGGACTTTTACTAATTGAAACAAAGTATTCCATTCATTATTATTGGCATTAAAATCGTAGTTGATGTATCTACCAACCAGAATTTGGAGTTTTTTTTACCAAAATTTAGTGGACAAAGATTTTCGGATAGTGTGCCTAATTTAAAAGTGTAGAATTATTTATGAGATACAGTGGGTATGTTTGGACGATTATTCCTTGATTTCTAGTTTGATAAGCAATATGCATACAATATTCGTCATAATTATGGTAAAGAAGGAAAGCATGCGGATTATTCGGCGTATCCTTGTGCAAAGATAATTTTGGATTTCAGTCCTTCTTCTGCAGACTGCCATGGTAATTTGATATTAATTTTAATATCTTTCTACTTCAAAATAATCCTTATTAGCTAGCGGTGTATTCCCTTTCATTCCAGACCATTCAACACTATTCTCTTTTAATTCCTAATTTAATTTTCTGTTCATCGTATTTTTACCTCGACTTTAAATTATGTCACCAAATGAACGCTGATTGATTCTGACGCATCTGGAATATATTTACCTAATGTGTTCAGGTTGCCCTTATCGACATAGTGATTTGCGGTTACTCACTCAAAATTTGGAAAGTTCGGGTCTTTCCAAGTCTCAAATTGAGCATGTAAGTTTGTTTTATTTCTCAAAAATAATTGGAAATTTTTAGAGAGAACTAAATAGACTTGACTGAGGAAAATTCGTTGACAAAGCTCAGAGAGATTAAAATATTCATATGTAATTTGCTTTAGGCTTGAAAAACAGTTTAATAGGGAGATTGACCTCACAGACTTTGATTGCCTTTGTCAAATCTAAGGGTTCTCTTCACCTCTTCTGCAAATAGATTTTGTGGTCTCGTTTCACGTTTCCCATTCAGAATGTTTACTTCTTTTCATTCTGTCGTTGTTGGTGTCTGCTTTGTCAACTCTAGTTTTTTTCTCTCATCTCTGATTGAAAGCTCAGCAAATTTATTAGTTGTAAAAGAACATGGTACGAGCTTTTCAATCAAGTAGTCAAGAGAGGAACCAATGCCGCTTTAATTTTTAGCTTTCTATGCATCATATGAAATTTGATCTTATACAGTCGACAGATTAAGTAGCGAAAATTAGTAAACAAAAAGACCATAACTTTCGAAACAAAATTCTTTTCACGAAATACCATTTCTGTGTTCAGTATTTTCATTCATTTCATTCACTGTCTTTATAGTGCAGCTTATACCGCTTTATTTATTCTCATCTGTCCAACCTGATATATAAGTACATGAGGAGTTGATAGGAGAGATGTTCAGGAAGGGACACTGATAATGTTGACTTTAATTTACATTTTTCAGATTACTTTGTTGTCAAAAAATAAGCAGTATGATAAGGCTTGCACGCGATATTTCGAATTTACCCATAAAATGGCTGAGAATTCTTTGGGTACTGTGATAACTCATCCTAATCAATATTTTGAATTGTCGCGGCAGGTGCACGATGGAAAACGGAGCAGGTCTTTACTGATAACGTTTTAAGAATTCAACCAGTCTTAACCATTTCTCAATTTCTCGAAACTGTTCTAACATATCTGAGTCATTAACATTACTCGAAGAAACCTCTATATTTTACAAATCCCATAAGATTCCTTCATCACTTAGTTCCAGGGAGGAGGAACCGAAACATGAGGTCATGCTGGGCGCACTGCAGGGAGAAACAACGCAACATGGAATGGACGTCGACATTGAAGATCTGATCAAAATGGAGACTTCCGTAATGAACGAACGACACCACTATACTTGACTCCAATTTTTTTTCTTTTGCTGTGTTGGTTTCTTCTACTTCTTTTATGTGCTGTTATAAATTATACCTCTTCAATGCATTCTTTTGAAACACTATAATGCTAGTAAACTTAGGCGTTTAGTTGTCATAATTATAAAGTAAAATAATGACAACATAAATCTATCAATACATAAATTGCTTTACAATGGGTAACAATTCAGAAAAACCTAATGAATGTATTCCATAATTTTCAAATTTCCATTTTCAGGTTTTCAGACATGAAATCAGTAAATATCAAGCAGTCTTCACAAGCCTAAGCCAAATATAACACATAGCAATATAATATATACTATAACATATGCTTCTTAATATGTCAATTGTTAGAAATGGAATAGAAAAAACAATATATAACAAAGTATAACATAAAATCCGAAACTTTATACTGTACAATTTATTACTTTACTAGCTGAATGTCAACAAAGAAAGAAAAACAAGCTGCAAGCTCCGACCAATGTTTAACATTAGAACATTCGAACAGTAATTAACGCAATAATTTAAGTAAAGAATGGCAAGATTCTGGTCGTTCATATAACCAGATTTTGTTTAAAAACAAATAAACAGCTCGCAAAATGATCAAAAGATAACTGATCTGAGACACAACTGAAGTGGATCACGTGGGAAGCATAAAAGTAGGACAATACTGATTCCTAATCCAGAACTGCCTAGAAAGCAAAATGGAGAGAGTCAATAATAGGAAATGCGAACTGTATCTTATGATCAGCTATCGAAGTTCTTTCAGCCATTCCAAAAAAATTAGGTCCATGTTAATCAAGAGGTTCAAAAACTGGTATCGTGCCGGAAACCTGTATTGTCTGTTTATATTTCATTACTGACTGTATTACGTCACTTTCACGAATCATTCGCGTCGTTTCATTATTTCTGAAACAGAACTTATAAGAAATAAAAGTGACACTTTACGCATCAAATGTCCGAAAGTTGAACACGTATAAAAACCGAAACGTACAAATCCTTTCCTTTGATAAATGCATCCTTAACTCGCGATAAAACAGCCAATCGACACACTTCCTTCAAGTCAGATCCGCTTAATTCAGTAGCGTATTCTGCTATCCTTTCAAAATTGATATCCGGCATAACCGGTTGGTCCCTTAGTAAAACTTTTAAGATATCTGCGCGAGATTCTAAACTCTGGAATTAGTGAAAATCAGTATAAAAACCATACCATTTATATAGTCTTATAGATATACCTAGTATTTTGCAGATGAAAAAGCATAAAGACATGGAAAATTCTGCTTTAAGCATAGATTTGAGGCAAAGCTTACTGGTAGAGGGACATAGAATCGTGCAGGCATTCGTCGTAAAATTGCACTATCAACATCGTTTGGTCTATTAGTTGCTCCGAGTACGACGATTGCATGGTCTGAAAGAATTTAAGGCAGTGTAAAAAAGCGATAACCACATATTTTGAATCTCTTGAACTTGAATACGTGCATTAAAGATACGGTATATATATGTCGTATAAACTACGTGCTTACCTGATGAAGCAAAACCATCCCATAAGCACATGAACTGCGCCTTCATCATGGCAGTGGCTTCGTGGTCTTGGGTATTTCGATCTCTCAAAAATGAATCTGAAATAATGGAAAATGTAAAAGTGGCCCAGTGTGTAAAAACAATTTTCCAAAATGGTGAAAAAATTTATCACTGCTATGCTCACCTATCTCATCAATAAATATGATCGTGGGTTGGAACTTCTGTGCCTGAAAAGGTTGGTTAGATTTACTAAGGGAAATAGTAAAAAAACCTGTGCAATTCTGTTTTTCTATTCATTAATAAAAAGATGGTATTATATGGGCTCATATTTTCAGTATTTTTCCAACCTGTAATAAACATTTTTAAAACACGTTTTAACCAAAACCTCGAGTGACTTATCAATTTACATACTTATAAAACATATACCACAGAGAAAACTGCATCAGCAAGTTTCTGTGATTCACCATACCACTTATCGCACAATGACGACACTTGCAAATTAATGAAACGAGCATTCGCTGCACGTGCGATAACTTTTGCAAGTAAAGTTTTACCACAACCTGGTGGACCGTATAAAAGCACTCCTGAAGTACTGCTTAAGAGTGTGTTCGAATTCATCGGAATTTGCAAAAATCTTTAAAGCATAAAAACTATTAAATTATGAAATATATATTCGAAAACATATGATTCCGACCAAAGAAATAACCAATTACTTTCCTTTCAATCTCTCAATAATGTATTGTTTGGGAATGGCATTAAGTGAATTACCTTTAGGTGGAGAAAGAAGATTCGACGACAATGCGAGTTTCTTGTAAATATTGCGAATTTTTAATGGGATAATTATCCGATCATTAATTTCTTCAATAACTGCGCCACAACCACCAATATCGCACCAATCTGCACCCTAAATTCGATTATATATATATTGGAGTGCAAGATACAACCATCAAAGCCATCGGAGAAAATTTTCAGACCTTCGAAAAAATTTCACAGCTTAGTATAGCAATACCTGATTATATTCTTCCTAACTATCTCTTCATGAATTACTGTATCCACTTTACAAGACCTATTTCACTGACTCTTTGGATCACACCATTTACGAATGCAACTACTGTCTACTTTGAATAAAATTCAAATGGGAAAGCACAAGTTAAATGAGAAACTTAAAGCAACTAACCTGACCGCAGTGAACGAATTGTGTAGCTATACGTAATTCGTATTCGTTAAGCTCGATTGATGGATCTAAGCCTAATGTTTTGATTACTTGAGCAGCCTGCAATCCAGTTACAAAAATGAACAATCTAAAAACCAATCTCGATCTTTGGATGAATTCCTTAGTTGAATAAGCTAACCTTCTTTTTAGCATTTTTATTGATGGAATGGTTGGGATCAATATATCTGACTGCAAGTTTCATGATAACGATTGATGCGACTGTGGCAACAGCAACACGAATGCAAAAGTTAAGTGCTTGATCCATCGACAATGACATTTTTCCCACTTTTCCCTTACTTTCGCTATTATCCTATATATATATGATTTTGTAATTCGACAACTCCTACCACACATTCAATTCTGGGAATGTCAAATTTTTATAAGCAAAGTGATTAACAATTTGTCTTTAGAAGAAAAGACATACTATAGTTTGCTGAGAAGCTAGTACAGCACCATGCCGTGTTTTGTACGGTAACACAGTAGAGCCCTAGCAGCCGGTTGTTTAAGAATCTACTCTATCGCACTTTTTCCCTCTTGGGTACTTCACTCGTGTGATCTCCCCTACAACCCAAAATTACCAGGTCAAACACACTATAACCACAACCTCAGTAATAGTGTGCAACAACGAATAGACCATATGTGCTATTAATATAGTGCCACTCTGCCCCAAGCTGTCTCTAGTCCAGAAAGCCCCAAAAATCCGAAACTAACCACACTCCCATGCTGCCCCTGCAAACGAGCGAGCCTGTATTTCTGTTAGACCTTACATATTTTTAAAATTTAGCTGGAGCCCACCCATAATTAATAGAATCTATCAATTACTTTTGTACAAGTGCACTCATTACTTGAAGTAACGCAAGTGTTCCGGTTCGCCCTTTGTGTAGTGCTACAACATTTTTGTGTGATGAATCTATAGATTTATGAATTAAAATCGTGATAAAGCATCAAAAATGTAAACTATGTAAAATAAATAATGCAAGTGTGCCAAAAATTGAATCAGAAGGTTTTATACGTCTGATGCGAAACATAAAAGTTGAAAGGTCTAGGTGCTGCATGAGGAACAATCAGATGACACCGTGCGAGAAGCTTGTAGCTAGCACCCCTATATACAAGAATTAGATAAAAAAAAACAGAAGAGGTACAATTCTATGATCCAAAAACCTTATCAGCGAGCCTTCAATTATTTCAAGTTAGCTTTGTAGCCTCAGAAACTAACACGGAAGCTGGAGACAGCTGATGTAAAAAACAACACCGCCTTTTGCAAAAAGAGAAGCGTTCCACGACCATACATTGCAGAAGCTCACTAAAACGCCTTGTATTTTGAAATTCAAATATCTACGTATAACTAAAAAATGTGATAGATTACTTCTAACACTTTTAACTTTTACATGAAAGATGACAGTTGAATTTAGCTTTATATACAAAAGCGAACTCATACGCTTTCACCTAACATAGCAAGAATCCAATGGACGAATAAAAACGTATTTCCCAATATCGGAAGAAAGCAGCATTAAAAGATGAGATCAAGTCAGGGGATTAGAAACAGTTACACGTTTGAAATCAACAAGCAGGCAAAGGATGAGGTCCGTCAGCTACAGAGGGTCGTCGATAACCAGCACTGAAATCTTGCCGATAAGATACTCGTCGCCCTGTTGGCGTATTTGGTCTTTCCTTTACATCCACGCCACTACCCTGGCTTTTCCCCAGTAATGATACAGGCGTTGAGCTGTAGAGACGATTCGATGGAAGCATATCCAGTGAAGCACATGGACTGTTTGATTTAGCGTGCATTCTAAATTCTATTTGATAAGCTCCTTAATTTTCTTTTTTCTATATAAAGATAATGTGAGAAAAGGAATTAAGGCTACCACAACGTTAGGTTTGAAATAGAATTATTCTTTTCTAGAACTTACCCATTAGCTCTTGGCACGAATGCAGGAGCATTGGTGGAAAATTTTGTTTTGATTACACCATCTGATGCTGAAAATTTGGGAAGTTATACGAAATTATTTAACAATTACAAAATCTTGCACATTCTTTCGCTATCACCAATTACTATGATAAAATGAAAACGAACTTTCCTGGTGAATGAATCGACACTTATTTCCATAAGGACAGTGGCCGTTTTTGAAGTTTATGCAAGGCTTAGTGCGATAATTATTCAGTAATGGACCCGACCTATTCCGACACATGTGCTCACTCCGATTCTGTAAGTATCAAGAAATTCAAAAGTCCACAGTTTGCGGGCCAAGAAATG